TTCACAAACGGACTGATGGTCTCAAAGGCGAAGATCTTGATATGATGTTAAATGATATGCAACGAAATTTACTTCAACAACAGTAGGTGTTAAATGATATGCAAACTCAAAATGCAAATTGATGGTCTCAAAGGCTACGACCTTGATATGATGTTTTCGATGAAAAGGTGATTCGCAAAAAAATATAAAAATAATAGCTATTTTTGTTTTTTATTTATTGTATGTTTAAATGTTGTTGATCGTGGGTTTATGATGATCAACAAGTCATCATAATTATAAATATTGATATCTTAGCCGGTAAGAATATGGGGCAACAATAATAAATATGAAAAAGGGTTCTAATATAGATCGTTACTTATTTGATTTCATACAACCATCAACTAGTCAATCATTTGACGATTGTTCCAAAGTACTAAGAACATTGGATTCAACGTTAAATCTCACTTAATGTTATGGATCAAACTCCGTTCATGACCCTTATGAATCGATTCAAGAAAAATAGATTGCATGTTGTTTGGAGATTCTTCTTTGGGATTTTGCTAAGATGTCTTACTTTGTGAGAACTTCAGGGCTTATTCAGCCAATCAAATGTTTCTTCATTGTACAAAACTCAAACAAATCCAACATCAACAGATCTTTTCTATTGAAATTAAGATCCAGTTGGTTTACATCAACTCACAATTGAGACCTCACTACATAAATCTCTCACACTCTTAAAATCAGATGAACAACAACAAAAAAAACAAGTAAACAATTACAGACTCAAGACCAACAAAGTAACTGACAGAAAGTTGACCTAGAAACCCTAAGACTCAATGAAGACATGAGATAACTTTGTGAGACTAATCTCTCCAAATAAGCCTTGCAATTTTATATAACAAGTAAATTATCGGTTATCTAACTTTCATCCTTCACCTTTCTACAACTTGACAAATTATACACTCTTTAATCAACAACTTGCAAAATAATTTTTCCAAATACCAATATAAATCATATTTATCCTTTGTTTCATTGATAAGATCGACCATTGATAGAAAAAGAAATGCACATGTAAACCAATTTTTTTCTTTATAATATTCACATAAATACAAAAGGTGGTCAAACACCAATGCTTTCCCTTATTTTCCGTTTCTTTCTTTTGGATTTTTGTTAACCACAACAGTATGAAAACAACCAAAAAACCAATTTATCGTTTATTTTCCAAATCTTTTTCTTTGGATTTTTTGTTAACCACAGCAACAAATGACATCCAGCCTAGTTGGATTGATGCATGGGGTTTTATACCCATGTGTGGTTGAGGTTTTGGTTTGAAACCTTGGGGGATATCTCTTTCAGTGCTGCATTTGGGAAATTTTTCTCTGGAGATCCTTATGGCAGTTGAGTTTACCCGCTTATACGGAGCTCGAACTCGGGGTTCACATTGAAATATTGCATGTAGGCTTCTGTTAATTCATTTGCCGTTTCCAAAAAAGATCAGATTGAACAAATTAAGGTATTATTCAACACCCTCGCTCAATCTGATCAATGAAACAAATTAATAAGACTCAACATTCCATAAAAAACATGTTGTAAAACACAAGAGACTTTGATAACAAAAAAATCATTAGAGCATGGTTTAAATCTTTTTAAACTGAAATCTGAATAAACTTTTAAAGTCCAAATTATTTCACAATGCACTGTAATCTTCCTTTTTTTTTCAAAATATCATACTTATTCAAAAAAAAAGTTAGTCAAAGATCTTTGGGTGGAAATACATTTTTTTAAGTCTGAATCTACACAAACAGTTGGACAAAAAAAAAGTTATACCTAGAAATACTAATTTCCTTATCAGGACATTTCTTATATAGATCAAAAACTCAAATCTCATTTAAAAGATGCAGCAGCCCTTGTAATAGAAAAAATAAATCAACTTCCCAAGTAATATCCAATACTATGTAATGTTGGTAACAAGCCATAAAAAAAAATATACCCTCAAGACTGATTACCAGATTTAAACCGATAGATTTGTTGGCTGGTTTTCATCCTGATAAACCATTAAAAAACATGTAACAGACCTAAGCAACACTTCTTTTCAGATATACAAAACCCAATGCCCAATTACCAGAAATTTCAATACTGAGAACATATTTTAAATTCCCATAATCCTTAATAAGGAACTTGAAAAAAAAAATCCCATAATCCTTAATAAGAATCTTGAAAAAAAAATGTACATCTTTTTATTATGCTTCGTTTGTTTGCAAACACAGAACTAAGCGTAACCAGATGTCAAAACAATTATCACATACCATAACACAAAGATTACAAATTGCATTGAAATTCTTGAGTTACTTTATAACTACTTTTTCAAAAAACAAGAATATAAATTCTAGGTATTAACAATTTATACAAATAACTGACCTTTTTGTTTTTAACGAAACTATGTTATGACAAACAATGACAACATTCACGGTTAACAACATTTAGAATAAACTTTCTGCAGCAAATTAAAACACTGAACTAAGATTTAAATTCTTCATCCACCAAAAACATTATTGATACAAAAAAAAAAAAAAAAAAAAACTTAACTCAACACATTGTTGGAACATGCCCAAAAAAACTTCAACAAAGAAAGTTTGTAGCATGTACATTTTCCGAATATTCTTATCACATTGTTACAGCCCATTAAAAATCCTAACAATAAACAAGACTATCGAGATCATAGACATAACTAGTTTAAAACAAGAACAATTTGCTATCATTTACATCTAGTGTAACAATTTTAACAAGAATATATATATATATATATATATATATATATATATATATATATATATATACACACACACACACACACATTACAGCCCTACCTAAGCTTAGGTACTAAACCTCGTGAAAATACGTCATTTTACTATATAAAGATTGCAGTTAGGCATTCACGATTTAACACTTGAAGATGTATATTAAAGATCGATGCAATAGTTTTGATAAGGAAGCAAGAATATTGATTATCTTCGACCTTCGTGACAGTGAAAAAAAAGTAATGTTCATTATGGTGAAATAATAAACGATAATGGAGGAAAGAAAACAGGGATGGTAAAACGATAATTGATGAAATAAATGTTATCGAGGATGGTATATATATATATAATATATATATATATATATATATATATAATATATATATATAAACATCACAATCCATATTAAATAAAAAATAAATAAATAAAACCTTTTGACTAGGTTGAGAATAAAATAATTCTACAACTAGCAAAAATTCTTAAATATTGGGTTAAACCTTCTAATTGCACCTGAACATAATTATGAAATTCTACAATCATAAAACAACACCAAAAAAGCCATAAAAAAGGCTAACAAGGCACAGTAATTATTGCACCAACCATTTACTAACTCCAAATTATAACTTGATTATCAAAAAATACCAAACACAATCAGCAAAACAACAAAGTATAGATTAGAACACCTAGCCCAACAATAAAATCATAGGATAACAAGATTTAAGGATAAAAACAAATTTATATATAAATCAAGTATAACATATCCAATGAGTAAAACAACAAATAATAGAATTCTACCATTTAAACATTTTCGATCAGAACACAGTGATACTTGAACTTGAATCACAAACCTATACAGAGCAACTTCAAGAATGTGACAAAAAAATTTGTGATACGGTTCGGAAAAACAATCTAAAAAAGACATCATAGAACCATACAAGAAATTGAGATTTAACCCTTGAGTTAAATATGTGAATCCGCCTAACCCATTTAATTAAATAGATTGGGTTGAGTACGTTTTCAATCTGTCAACCCATTTAACGTTAATATATATTTAATTTAATAATTATTTAAATATTATCATGTATTAATCTAAGTATGAACTTATAAATTATATTAATGTTGTAGTATTATTTATGTTTTATAAAAAATACAATCTTAATTTCCATATTTTTTTCTTAGTGTCAGACAACAATAACCACTTTCCAAAATTACTTCAAAATTAAACATTTTTAATGTTATTTGAACAATTTATTTGTATTGTTCTTTTGTCATACTTTGAAATTTTATTTAGTTACTTATTTATTTTTTTATTTTAGATGGGTTAACCCAATTTAACCAATTTATTTAATATGTTGGATTAGAAACTATGTAAATAGGTTAATCAAGTAATAACTCATTTATGTGAAAGATTGGGTTGAATTTAAATAATATGACATTCTGGTATCAGGAAGCAATTTGGGAAATCTTGTGGGCATCGCTGGCTTGACCCGTTTTTTGGATTTGTAATGACTAGAACCCATTTGGATTTAGAATAGGTAAGGTTGGAATATAATAGAAAAGTGTAATTTTTGAAGTGGTTGAACGGGTATATATATATATATATATATATAATATATATATATATATATATATATATAGAGAGAGAGAGAGAGAGAGAGAGAGAGAGAGAGAATAAATTGCTTAGAAAAAACACCCAGAGGAGAAACAAAAAGATGCTCAGGTTGTTCAAGCGGATATGTCAGGACAGTGTTCCCGGCAGTATCCAGGCCAAGCCAAAGGGTAGACAGAGTATGTGTTATTTTCATCCCTTCCGTACTTGACATTCTTTATGTTCCACATCGTCCAGTAGTTTTATCATCTGGTTGACCATAACTATAGCAAGATGAAACACATCAAAAACCATCCCTTTCCGCATGCCCATTCACATTCACCCTAATGAATACTAACAAAAATAAATAATAAATAAAAATATAACTTATCCGTTTTAAGGTATATGATGAATCCACAGATAACAGCATTGCATAACGCATACATACTACAGTTACAGTGTCAGAGAGGACCAAAAATATAACCTCATGCATCATGCAATTCATCCAAAACACAACCTAACCTTTCTCAGAGTCAGACAATCAATACACTTCACGTTTTTTTAATCTTGAAACCATCCATATCATATTCATAACAGAAGCACAATAACGAATACTCCAATTACCTTTTTACCCTTTACCCTTGGGCAATCTGATCCAAACCAGGATCAACTTGGGATGGTATTTGGGGGGCCTCTGCCCCTGATACCTCTTGACCTTGTTGTTGGCTGCCCGCAGGCACAACAACTCCGGGGGGCAGGTCGGTTTCTTTCTGGTCAAACTTTGACTCACGGCGCCTCTCACGCCTCACTGGTGTGGGACTCCGGCTTCTGCTTCGGCTTCGGCTGCGTGACCAGCTACGACTCCGACTCCGACTCCGACTCCGGCTGTAACTCCGACTCCTACTGTAACTCCGGCTTCGGCTTCTGCTTCTGCTGTTCCATGTTCGGACCCTATCAGGACTCCTGCTGTAACTCCTTCCCCTGCTGCTACGATCACCATCTCTTCTGTTATCAAACCGGCCCCTCACACTCCCACTCCCACGCCCACCACCCCTACCCCCAAATCTATCATTCCTGTCCCAACCACCATCCGCTCCACCAAATCCAATGCCCCTACCACCACCACCACCACCACCACCACCACCACGCCCGCCAAAGTTCCCATCCCTCCCTCCACCGCGACCACCAAAACCACCACCACCACGACCTCCAAACCCATCATCTCTCTGGCCACCTCTCCCCCCAAACCCACGCCCACTAAACCCACCAAATCTGCCATCACCTCCACCACCACGTCCACCAAACCCTCCGTCTCTAGAGTCAACACGACCACCCCTAAAGCCACCGCCACGACCACCACCACCGGAATCCCAACGGCCACCTCCACCAGCAGCCCTGTCTCTACCAAAAGCAGGCCCACCACGTGTGGCAATGTCTCGCACCTCATTGGGTACAGGCTGATTGGCACCTTCTAGAAGCTTTATAAGATCGGGTGCGTGTTTCCAGTCCTGTTCAGAGAAGAAAGTGTAGGCCACCCCTTTTGCCCCTGCCCTACCGGTTCTTCCAATCCTGTGGACATAATCCTCAACACCATTCGGAAAATCATAATTAATCACCACCCTGCAAAACATGTCACAATCACTATTTTCAGTAAATACAATATTTAAGACTTGTTATATTAAATTGATACAATACATGATTTAAGAAGATTAAGAGAATGTTAAATTAATTAAGCATTATTGGAAACTTAATTTCAGGATTTTATATTGGGTAAACCTTCTTTGCTCTTTCAGGTTTACTTTACTTATGCTACAATGTTAAAAGTCTTGACTAGAGAAATAAATAAATTGACTTTTTCAGTGACTAAAGGGGTAATGATGTCTTTTTGGATAAAGTGTTGTATACATAAGGTTTGTTTGTTTTCTAGACTAAATAATCCATCTGAATGAGACTAAGTGACCATTTTATCCTTAACCATTCCAAAAAAAAAAATCATCAATTTAACATGAGAGGAGTTGAGAGGAAAAAGAAGGGCAAATATGTAGAGGGTTGGTGTCTCAATACATTAAGGGGCTGTTTGGTAGCTTTTGAAAGGAACCGTTCAGAGGACACCTCTAAACCGCTCAGCATTCAATGCATTTAATACGGCCTCCGAAGGAATCAAAAGCCTTAGGGAACTGCCTCTGAACCGTTAAGCCACATTACCTTCTCTTAACCATTACGAGGTGGGAACCATCACATTCAGCCTTCAGTGCGATTTACCAAATAGACCCTAAGTCAGGTTTTTTGGCTTAGCCTATTAAGTCATTTTTCTCCACATTAAGTAAAACAGAAATCATATACAGTTGTCCAGATTAATTGCTTAACTCATAAGCCCATTAGGTCAAGAAGAAACAGCCCCCAAGTGTGTTGCTATTTTGGAAAAATAGATAATTTAATGGGAAATTTAAGGAAAAAGTAATATTATTGGTTTATAAGAGTTTGGATTAGTGAATCACTGTTATTGGTTAATAAGGTTATTTCATGCAAATGAGGGTGTGTGTGTGTGTGTATATATATATATATATATATATATATATATATATATAGGGAAAAGTTCAATAGAGAACCATTATTAATCAAGGAACCAAGGAACCAATCCAAAGCGTCGGAATTTAAAGCGATCAACAGCAAAAGGAAAGGTTGTAAAATTTTATAATGGTCGCACATGTACCGGATTATAACAAAACCCACTTCCTTTTTTTCATTTAAAATTTTTTTTAGGCCAAGTTTTTTATCGAAAAAAAAAACCGAATATACCGTTGTTCACGATTTTTCGTCCTCTTTCCATAGAGATCCATGATGATATATAAAAAACGAACTTTTTTTTTCGAAAAAAACCCACTTAATTTTCTTAGTTTTTTCAATATTTAAGTTTATTTTTATAAAAAAAAAAAACTAATTATACCAAAAATATTAATTTTTTGTACTCTATTAATAAACATCAACACCGATTTAAAAAAAAAAAAAAAAAAAAAAAAAAAAAAAAAAAAAAAAAACCTCAGATCAGTGTAGATTCACACTATGAATCTAAACTGTAAATATTTCAAATTTTAACATTCACAATGTGAAAAAGCTCCGATCAGTTCAGATTCACAGTGATCTGAGGAGGTTCACAATATGAATCTGAACATGTTTATAATATGAATCTGAACAGGTTCACAATGTGAATTTGAACTGAAATATCGTTTTTTTTTTCTTTAACATGAATATGAATCTATGTTTAAAAAGTACAAAAAATATGAATTTGGATATATTTATTAAATTTTTTTCTATAAAAAATAGACCTTAATTTTTTTCATCAAAGAAAATGAAGTGGGTTTTTTTCGAAAAAAAAAAGTTCGTTTTTTATATATCATCATGGATCTCTATGGAAAGAGGACGAAAAATCGTGAACAACAGTATACTCGGTGTTTTTTTTTGATAAAAAACATGGCCTAAAAAAATTTTAAACGAAAAAAAGTGGTGGGTTTTTTTTTGTAAAGGGTGGATTTTATGGTATAATCCGGTGTGTGCGTCCAATGTAAAAGTGTACATCTATTTCCTTGGCCGTTGATCGTTATGATTTCCGACGCTCACGATTGGTTCCTTGGTTAATTATGGTTCTCTATTGAACCTCACCCTATATATATATATATATATATATATATTATATATATATATATATATATGTGTGTGTGTGTGTGTGTGTTTGTGTGAAGCCTTGGCATTTCAAAGTACATTGCTATTTGGGTTATATGCTTAATTAATTCAAATATGAAATATGTCAAGATGGACATAGATTGTAAGATTTGATTGTAAATGGTCTTACTGTAGGATCTCAAGGTTTAAATAGGAGAAACTAGGATTAAGTTACGTAAATGGAAATGACAGGTTTTGAACCATAAATATTGTTATATTTCTGGAGTACCATTCATGTGTCTGGCTGGAGAGAGAGAGAGAGAGAGAGAGAGAGAGAGAGAGAGAGAGAGAGAGAGTTTGGCGCACATAAGCTAGCTTATTGCAATTTGTTGTTTGGTTAGACCACAAAAGTAGCTTATAAAATAGCTTAAAAGCTAGCTTTTTGATAAACTAGCCTCAGATAATTTATTTATAAGCTAAAAGCTAGCTTTTTCAGCTAGTGGGCAAATAGCTTAAAGGAGTTTTTAGTCTTCATGACTTAGAATTGTAAGAGTTTTCAGACTCCTTGACACAAAGTGTTACATTAAGGTGTTAAATATATCATGTACATAATGCGTCTCAGTCAAAGGGGGCATGTGTGAGTTGAGTTTGGTGGGTCAGGAAAGTTGGTGAGAATTTGGAGACTTGTGTGTTCATTTGGAGCATGATGGGGCAACCTGCCCTGCCCATGAGTGAGGAAACAATAAGAGGTCCATGAAACTTACTGTTGATATCAACCTAAAGCCGTAGTTTTCTATTGGAGATTATGTGATGAGTTTGGGGGTGTGTTTATTCATGCATTGCATTCATATACATTGTCGTACAGTACTTGTATTTACTTTTATTACATATTTGAAGTAAGTAAAGTATATTTTTTAAGGAGCCTAACCCATGTTACTCGCAAGCCTTTTCCAGCATAACATACTATATTTAGCAGGCCATAGCATTTTTATCTTTATTGGATAATAGTAAGTAGTAACACCATTTGGGGATTTTAAATTGATGGTATCTATTTCGTTGCATATTTACGAATATTATTGTTATCTCTATTTTTATGCAGACCACAATATAATAATGAAATCCTCGGGTGCTTCAGTAAGTTGGATTTCAAAAGTTGTTGTAATTTTGATGGAAGAGCAGGAAGGGGTCTGACCTTACGTCCTTGATGTCAAGGCCTCGAGCAGCGACATCTGTAGCAACTAAAATTGGAGACTTTCCTGAACGAAACTGATTGAGAACCCAATCTCTCTCCTGCTGAGACTTGTCTCCATGAATGGCTGCTGCCCCAAAATTACGACCAATACTTCGTGTCAACTGATCACATAGCTTCTTTGTTGAACAGAATATTATAATTTTGGATCCCCGTTCTTCCGATCTCAGAATCTGCTCCACACGCCTCTGCTTCTCCATGTGAGGAACCACTTCAACATACTACAACATCACACAACACAACACTTCGATTATATATTTATATTCTCTTATTTCCCATGAATGCTGTAAGCAGCATTTTTTTATAAATACCTGTGTAATGGACTTGTTTGCAGCAAGCTCATCTGCATTGCCAATGTTGACCTGAACAGGATTGACAAGAAGATCACCAGCTATTTTTCTTACTTCTTTGGGCCAGGTGGCGGTATACATGAGAGTTTGCCTGCGAGGAGGTATCTCATTCACAATCTTTCTTATTTGAGGTTCAAAACCCATATCAAGCATCCTATCAGCCTCATCAAGCACAAGAAGTGCAACCTGACGAAAATCAACCTTCCTCATTTCAAGAATGTCATTAAGTCTACCAGGAGTAGCCACAACAATGTCCGCCCCTCGTTCCAATTCCTTCAGTTGTGGACCCTTTGGAGCCCCACCATACAGACACTGAACAACAACATTAGCATAACCATACTCAAAAAAAAAAAAAAAAAAAGCATGATGGTTCAAGACTCACAGTGCAAGATACCCTAATGGATCGGCCAAACTTGATGGCTTCATCTTGTATTTGAGTAGCAAGTTCCCTTGTGGGAGATAAAACAACAACAGTAGGTCCATTCTGAGGATTGTTGTGACAACGTTTGAGCAGCATGAATGCCGGAATCAGGTACCCCAATGTTTTACCAGAACCTGTCTTTGCAATTGCCACTATGTCCCTGTTTTGAAGGGCGATAGGCCATGTCTGTGCCTGAATAGGTGTTGGAGAAGCAAAACCAGCAGCACGTATCTGAAACAGAATCATGTTGATAGATAAACACTCCAATACACTAACTGCATTAACAAAACAGATAGATATATATCTGATGGATTCCTAAGCTTTTTTGGAGAAATTAAAAAGAAAGCCCTACAACTCAGAGGACGTCGGAAATGAAAAAAAGAAGGAAAAGTTTGTGAAATGGATGCCTTATTAGGTATAGAGTTGCTTACTGAAGCAACTCGAGAGGCAAGAAAATGGTGCAATTAAGAGAAAAGAGGCGAGCCAGAAATCCCAGACACAAAAAAAGTGTGAATCGGATGCCATTTGCATTTTGCAGCAGTACGACATGTGCTCCGTCTCTGGAGCAGATATCGCACCTGCGACAAGTCAAAACTGTTAATCTTTAAAAGTTAAAATGTGTAAAGAAAACAAATCCACCAAAATTTACTGAATATCAAAATCCAGTAAACAACAACTAAAATCTTCTAACTCTCAAGAAGAATGACTTACCTCTCTCAACAACTCCGGGGGGAGTCCAGCAGACTCAAATGACATGAATGGAGCAGGAACATTGTCACCCTATGGAATCAAATCCAATATCAGTAATAATATCTCTGACACAATTCCAAAATATAAAGATAGGGGTTTAGTATATCTTGTGCAACATGAAACATCACCATTCCCATATAAGTATCAAGTCAGTAAACAAACCGTTGCTGTAATATCATGTTTCTGTCTGTAAACATCAACAGATGATAGATTCATAGCATCTGGAGAGGCCATAACCGATGGATTTGGCCTCATCATAGGATTATTCATATAAGGTGGACCACCCATAGCTTGTGCTTGTCCATACATGTTATGTGATGCTGGATTCATCTCCTACAAATTACATTAGGAATCATATAGCTTAGTCGCTCAGCAAGATTAAATTCATAAAAAAAACAGGACTAAACCAAAGTATAGATAGGAGAAGATAAAAAATACAATACTTTACCGGCTGCATTCTTGCCATTGGAATTGCTGCAAGCTTAGGTTGATTAGGGACATCGTTTTTAGCATTAAAATAGGGATCATTCCCACCTCCTCTTCCAGGTGGATTATCTTCAAACCCCATTTTCATTCCTACTGGTGGAGCATTCGGCTGCTGACCATGTAACAGAGGTTGACCCATTTGATTCTGGAAATTTGGTCCATGTTGACCGAAAGACGGAGGTTGTTGTTGTTGCATGCTGAACTGAGAACCACCATATTGTGTAGCCTGGCCAGGTGGAGCTATAGCACCAGTCTGTGAGTTGCCATCATCTCTCTGAGGGAATGCAGGTCTGTGGTCTTGTTGGTGAGGATACTGCTGCATCTGTTGAGGAGGCATGTTTGGCTGATACCCTCCATACTGCATCTGTTGATGTGGAAACGGGTAGCCCTGTGAATGTGATTGGGGCATGTTATTTCCTTGTTGAGGTTGCATTTGAGGCCTGAAGTGGTGTCCCATTTGCTGCATAGCAGGTCCAACTTGCTGGTCTGGTTGTGGGGTAAATTGTTGTGTGTTCTGTGTTAATTGATGTGGCTGTTGACCTTGACCAGGAACACCATTTGGTTGTGCAGTGGATATAGAAGCTGGTTTAGATGCAGAGGGTACAGGAGGTGGCAAAGCAGCAGTAGGTTTCTCATATTGGGTGATGTTAGTTTCAGGATTCCAGTAGTATAAGACACCTGAGCTCCCATCAACTAAACCCTTCCAAGGTTCGGGCAAAGATGGATCAGGTGTAGCATAACGAGGTCCCAGAGCATCAGAGGCTCCTTCAGCAGCCATAGTTTTATAGAAGTTCACAACCTGATGTTCAAAGATGAAGATATGTTAGTGCGCAAGGCATAAGACAATCAATACACTTAAAACTGAAATAATCTGGATTCTGCAAGTAAAATTCCTATTTCAGCTCAAGAGTTACATCAACTATACCGACATGGAATTTGAGAAATTGACTTAAGGTCCAGAAACTAAGGTATTAACAGATAAGAAGCAAGAATCTCATATCTAGGATTGCACGATGTGGAAGTCTAATACCAACTCATACGCTATGGTAAGTATGTTAATCTTGAGATACCCCTATCGCTTCTGAAACTCTCCCCTCCTACAATCTCCGTAAATGATACATTAAAGACCTAATAACGAACAGAATCCAGATATTGCGGGAAAACAATAAAATATAAAGATGAAACACCTTATAACAGTAACATTAAATGAAAATTAATCGAGTTCATATATGAACTATAAAAGCATTATTGGTGAATGGTGACCTTCGTTGGAGCCGATCTCCCGATAAGCCTTTAACTCTCCAAGAGTGGATGTATATTGGATGATGGAGGGGAGAATCTAGCGCTGCTTGAATCTGTGTTTAGGGCTTGAAGGGTGCCTCCGATAATCTGCGCTTCTGGGGCTGTTCACTCTCTGATTAGTTGTTGAGGGTTAGGGTTGCAACTAAAGGGAGACCGGTGCTCATTGAAAGCTACATTTATATGGTCCGTTCTTTAATCGTATGTATATTACATCGTCGGAACATGACCACGTTTTAGGGGTATATTTGACTTTAAAACCAAGGGGCTGTTTGCTTTGTGCCTCTCGGGTTCATTCGTTTAACGTGTTTGATATGGGTAAAAAACTATTTGACTCGGTCCATTGATGTCCAATCCAGTCATGAAAATAAAGGAGCTGACCGATACCAAATATCTTCTCAGGACTCGTCCAAACGTATTTTAGGCCCCCGAGCAAAAACGAAAAAGAGGCTCCTATTATGCAATTATATATATATATATATATATATATATATATATATATATATATATATATATATATATACTAGGTTATAACTCGTGGAAACCACGGGTAAGTTTTATAAAATTTTATTAAACTAATAAGATATATGTTTTGTTTAGTATTTTATATTGATTATTTAAAATTAACATTCACTTTTATTTGAATATCTTATATATTTTATGTATATGAAGACATTTAATATAATTATGATTTATAGAACAGAATATAAATTTAAGATCCATATATAAGTTCAAAATCATGTAATACACAAGTTGATAACATAAAAGAGCAAAAACGACAATGTACTTCGAAAGTATGAGTGATCCAATCACAAGCATATATAATAGTTCATCCAATGAGACATGTATGATTAAATCACAAGTACTATTAAACTAACACATAAATATATTTTAAATAGAAATATTAAAATACATATCTATAAAGTTTCTTTTGGCAGTTAATATATATTTTCACTATTTACTTTTTATAAATTAAAAATATAATGAGGGGTTTAAAATGAAATTATGAAAAATGTTATAAAAAGATGTAACATGAAGTTTATATATAAACTAAAGGGCGCTAAGCAAGCTTGTAGAACTCGTTACTCGGTACCTGCTCGGCCGACTGGGGAGTACGAGTATTCGGGAGTACTCGGGGAGTACTCGGATTCGGTAATTCATGTAGAAATATTTTTTGGAAAATTATATATGCCAAAATCATAAGCTAAAATCATAATTTGATTGAAATATATAACCAAAATTAGATACATGTGAATACATAAAAACTGAAATACACACAATTGTCTCACTACGTGAATAATTACTGAAAATTTAAGATATATATGTAGTAATAATCACATGTGTGTGTTAAATAATAAATCATTAAGTGCGTTATACATATTAATCTTGAAATTCTTATTTTTTCTCTTTTTATGACAATTTTGACCCTTTGACCGAGTTTGACCGATTTTGACCGAGTTGGCCGAGTTTGACCGAGTAGGCCCGAATAGGCCCGAGTTTGACCGATTTTTGACCGAGTTTGACCGATTTTTGACTGAGTTTGACTGAATCCGAGTTTTTTGGCCGAGTTCACATTACTCGCCTCGGTGGAGGGCCGATTCCGAGTAATCGGCCGAGTACTCGGCCGAGTAGGCCGAGTTTTGCAACACTGGCGCTAAGTATAAATGAATATAATATTAAACAGAAAGAGGATTGTAATAGAAGTTGAATATAATATAATAATCTTGAATGAAAACACAGAACACAAAACCTACATTATTAACTTGATGTTAAGGAACATTGTGGCGATGTACAGGATCAATTAATCTGTTTTATCAAATGAAGTAAAAAGTTAGTAGCTAAATAAATTCACAATAACTTTTTCATATGAGTTGTACCGAAGCCAAATAGCAATAAACGTAGGCTTCGTTATGGCAATGGTTGCAATTGAAAATTTCAACACAACATGCTGCGTTGATTAATTTTGTATCAATCCTTTCCTTTTCCATCCAAGATTCCTGAAAATACATTTTCCTCTTCTTCAATTTCTGCTTCTGCTCGATCAAATCCCAAAAAAATGCAATAACCCATGGATCTGAGATTATAATTTAAAAATGTTATAAATGAATATATATATATATATATATATATATATATATATATATATATATATAACCTGATGAACATTAGGCATTTTCCTTATTAATATGGTCAACCATATTTGTGTCTATTCTCATCCTTATTTATTTTCATTAATTATAAATTTCCCTATAAATTGCATCACCTCAGTCATCACTCTTTTTGTTCAAAAAGAAAAATGTAAAAAATAGATGTGCTTACTATCAATTATGTTATTCACCCAAAGAATACCAGGAGACAAGATTTACATGAAGATTGAATTGCAATCGATATGAAAGGGAAACTCCATAACCCAAAGCACAAGAAATATCCAATTCAAGAAACACCAGAACCTAAAAACACAAAAAGATCTACAAACCTCAAGCACAAAATCCAGATTAATCATGAAAAATCCAGAAAAAATAAGGCGTTAAAACCCAAATGAAACAACATATGATGTCAAAACAGTTATTAGGCAGGAAAGCAACGCAAAATGGTTTATATGCCAAAAATTTCAGAAAAAAGAAAAAGCTACAAACCTGATCAGCAAGTAATGAAAATCTTCAAAGTTCTTGTGTTCAAATGCCTAATATGCTTCTTCTTTCATCCAAATTAGATTTGCAGTATTCCTTTTAATTTAAGGTTTTGGTAACAACCCAAGACTTCAGATCAAGACTTATCTTTATCTGCTTTGAGAAAGAGCGAGAAAGAAGGAATAAGATCAGTGCTACTACTCTAGATACAAAAGCAGAATATTATCATTAAGAGTAATCTCACTTTTAATGCCTTTGTCGTATATTTTAACGTCGACAGAATCAGGGGCTTATCAATGGTCACTTTGTGCGGATAACGTGAAGTGCGATTAAATACAATAAATGACATAAAAATAACCCGGATTGTTAGTGTTATGGATCCAGTGAATGAATAGTATTCTGTAAAGATGCAATTTTCCTAATTTTAACCTTCTCGGGAACCAAATTACCATAAAACTTTATATACAAAACCCCTAGCAAAGTTTCTTCCAATAAACCTCTAGCTAACGCTGTTAGCCTGTTACCTGAAACATCCAATAAGAAGAGAAAGGGTTGAAGAACATGCCACATAAAACCATAAAATAAACATCAATGGGAAAACAAAACAAAGATGACCAATAAAATCTCTAATCTCTGAAGATGATGAAAGCTATGACAAAGAAGCACGAACCTTCTGATGCGTGAGATGTGGCCGACGACCGTTAGGGTTGGAGAAAAGGAGAGACGATATATGAATGAAAATCAAATGGGATTTCCTTCAAGATAAATGAATGTGTGAAATTCAGAACAAGTTCTGAGATGGTGAAGCAAGAACCCACTTCTAGGGTTTTATGTGTTTTTGAAAGTCGATGGAGAGAATAGGCTGGCGGTCATGATTCTCGGTGATGAGTAGCTGATTTCTCGGCTTTAAATTGGAAACTCTTATCAGTTTCCAACTTACTGTTATAAGAAAAATCCGAATTTAAAATTCAAAATTCAAAAGTAATAAGATAAATCGGATTTGGAGATAGCAGATTAATAGTTTGAGCGGGAAACATCAAAATAGTTTCTTCAGAAGATGACATGTGGCATAGAGTAGGCGTAAGAAGGAGCCATGTGGCAGTTTAGAGAGTGTTTTATTAGGAATATATATATATATATATATATATATATATATATATATATATATATATATATATATATATAGTGTGAGGTTCAATAGAGAACCATAATTAACCAAGGAACCAATCGTGAGCGTCGGAAATCATAACGACCAACGGCCAATGAAATAGATATACACTTTTACATTTGACGCACACACACCGGATTATACCAAAAAATTCACCATTTACAAAAAAACTCACCACTTTTTTTCGTTTAAAATTTTTTTTAGGCCATGTTTTTTATCAAAAAAAAATCTGAATATACCGTTGTTCACGATTTTCCGTCCTCTTTCCATAGAGATCCATGATGATATATTAAAAACGATCTTTTTTTTTCGAAAAAAATATTCTTCATTTTATTTGATGAAAAAAATTAAGGTCTATCTTTATAGAAAAAAATTAATAAATATATCAAAATTCATATTTTTTGTACTTTTTAAACATAGATTCATATTCATGTTAAAAAAAAGATATTTCAGTTCAGATTCACATTGTGAACCTGTTCAGATTCATATTGTAAATTTGTTCAGATTTACATTGTGAACCTCCTCAGATTCACAGTGTGCATAATAATAAGTCAGATTCACAGTGTGAATCTGAACTGATCGGAGCTTTTTCACATTATGAATGTTAAAATTTGAAATATTTACAGTTTAGATTCACAGTGTGAATCTACACTGATCAAGGTTTTTTTTTGTGAACCTTCTCAGATTCACAGTGTGCATAATAGTAATTCAAATTCACAATGTGAATCTAAACTGTTTGAGATTTTCATATCGTGAATGTTAAAAATTGAAATATTTACAGTTTAGATTCACAGTGTGAATCTACACTGTTCGAGGTTTTTTTTTTTTTTTAATCGGTGTTGATGTTTATTAATAGAGTACAAAAAATTAATATTTTTGGTATAATTAGTTTTTTTTTTGATAAAAATAAACTTAAATACTGAAAAAACTAAGAAAATTAAGTGAGTTTTTTTCGAAAAAAAAAGTTTGTTTTTTATATATCATCATGGATCTCTATAGAAAGAAGACGAAAAATCGTGAACAACGGTATATTCGTTTTTTTTTTCGATAAAAAACTTGGCCTAAAAAAAATTTAAATGAAAAATGAAGTAGGTTTTGTTATAATCTGGTACATGTGCGTCCATTATAAAATTTTACAACCCTTCCTTTTGTCGTTAATCGCTTTAAATTCTGACGCTTTTGATTGGTTCCTTGGTTCCATGATTAATAATGGTTCTCTATTGAACTTTTCCATATATATATATATATAATATATATATATATATATATATATATATATATATATATATATATAGAAAATGGACCTTGTTGAATGTTAAAACCAATACAACTCCTAGGGTGTACAAAGAAGACATCTACCAAACCAAAGAAATCGAGCAATGGAACTATTTTGAAAAACATGCAGTTCTATTTTGGGATTTTAAAAAGACCGGATTTTTAGGTTCGATTAGGTTTTTTTTATAAAAAAAAATAGAACTAAATCGAAATATACATCCTTTCATGTATAAATATAATTGATTAAAGACAAAACTTCAAAAATGGTCCCTGTGGTTTCCAGGAATATCAAGTTTAATCCCTAAGTTCAAAAAACCTCACAGATAGTCCCTGTGGTTTCAAAACTTTTAACATTTGGTCCTTCCGGCTCACTCCGTTAGCATTTCACCGTTAACTCATTTTTTAATAAAATATTGCAGGGGTAATTTCGTCATTTCAGTTGTAACCTTCTCTCTTTAATATGAAATGATTACCTGATTCTTGCACGTCACTACCCGTCCCTCTCCCAAGAAGATAACCAGTTACATATATATTCATCGGATTCATTCCCATCGTAGAAGCAAGAACAGAAATTGGGATTTAGGGTTTTAAGCTGCAGGAATTGCAATGGTGCTATCAATATGGTGTTTTCGAGAAAAATTTGTAACCGTGGAGGACTTAGGAAAAAGATACGGTACAATACTACAAAATAACTTGTTTTTTCTTGGTCGATTGTGTTGATGAGCCACATATTGATTTTACTCTTTCATTTTTTTGTGTTTGCAGAAGGATATGACAACTATTTCACGTTGAAGATACACTACAGTGGTGTCTTCACCAAAGCACCTGGAAGGAAATACGTTGATGGTGTTGTAGCATATGTAGATGATGTTGACACTGATTTATTTTCAGTTCATGAGCTTCACGACATGGTCCGAGAACTAGGGTACAAAACTGAGCAAACACTTTACTACCATTTTTGTATCCCTGAATACCATTTGGACTATGGCTTAATGCCTTTAGGTAATGACCAAGATGTACTTAAAATGGTATCATATGTCCCTAAACACAGACTTATTAGGGTGTATATTGAAACTGGTCAGACCAGGGTGGCTAGTTATTACAAGTCCCCTTCTAAAGTTGTTATTGAAGAGTTGGAGCCTGATAGTGTGTCACCTGAAATGAATAGAAAGAAACCTTGTAGGAGAGAAGCAGGATCATGTAGTAGAAAGCTTGATCTGAACAAGTCTATGAACCCTGATTGTGAGCAGTCACAAGTATTAGATGCTGATGAAGGGCATGATTACTCAAAGAGTATTCTGCCATTTATAAGGTCACAAGCTAGCAAACAAAGTCATGTCATTCAAGAGGAAGTGGTGAATCATGAAATTGAAACTCAAGAAGAAGTGATCACTAGTGCAGTTGAAACTGGAGAACCATTGGGAACTTACCATGTACAGGAATCAAGCTGCCAAGCTGATGATCGAGCTAATACTGCAACAGTTGATGACTATGAACCATTTATAGAGGATTACTCACTCTATGCTGATTATGATGCTCAGTTTAATGTTCAAACTTCATTTGAACAACAACCAGAAGTGGATTATCTAGAGGGTATGGTGAGTGATGATAGTGGAGAGGCTTTCTATTCTGAGAGTGGCCATGGTTCTGAGGATAGTGAAGATGATTCTGATGACAGTGAATACAATGTGGATGAGTCTAACATACAATTTGATGTAGATGTAGACATGAGTGAATTCCATAATGCTGTTGATGTTGATGAACATGGAATCTTGAACAATCATTCCAAAGATGAAGGGAATGACATGGTTGATGATGAGTTGGAAGTTATTGCCACTGATGATTATCAATTTGCAGGATTTCATGAAGATGATAGGAAGAGACTGCTAAAAGAGTTGAGTAAGTCAAGTACATGATCTCATGGAGAGGTTCATGTAAAACCATTTCAGATTGGCCAGGTCTTCAAAACCAAGAGTGATGTTAAAAACTACATGAAGTCACACGCTGTAGCTTCAAGGAGGTCTTTATACCTAGCCAAAAATGATAAAATCCGGATTAGGGTGAAATGTAAAGGTGTTGTAAGTAAGCCATCTAAAGTATTTGATGGTGGTGGGCCCTCAACTAGAAGTAAGGCAAAGTGCAAGGGTAAATATGTAATTGCATATAAAGGTACATGTCCATGGGCAGTCCAAATATCGAGGGCTAATGAAAATCAGGACTGGTTGGTGAAAACAGTACATGATGAGCATAAATGTTTGCAAACAAGGGCGGTTAAAGCTTGCACTTCTAGATTCGTAGCAAATTTAATTGTTCAACAAATTCAGAGTAACCCTAAAATTCCAGTGAAAGCTTTACACGAAGAGTTGTGCAAGAAACTAGAGGTAGGAATGTCATTGCAAAAGGTTGCTAGGGCAAAGTCAATGGCTGAACGTATCATTAGTGGGTACTACCAAGTACAGTATGGATTTTTGAGGGATTATGTGTTGGAGCTGCTCAACACTAATCCTGGTACAACAGTTCGGATTGATGTGTATCCAGAAACCTCCCTGTCTATTACCACAAGAACTTTTAGAAGAATATATGTCTGCCTGGGTTCATTGAAGTTAGGATTCAAAGTTGGGTTAAGAGATTTTCTAGGTCTGGATGGTACTTTCATGAAGGGCCCTTATCCTGGGCAAGTATCAACTGCTGTAGGGTTGGACTCAAACAATGGCATATACCCTGTAGCATATGCAGTGGTAGAGACAGAATCAACAAGTAGTTGGACCTGGTTCTTGGAACTGTTAGGAGAAGATCTGGATCTTGGAGCAAATTCAAACTTTACATTCATTTCTGATAGACAAAAGGTGAGTATCAACTAACTTTTTTTTGGTACCATTACTAAATACATTTAGGTAACTGATGTTGCATACATTGACTTTTGTTTAGGGAATAATACCAGCAATGGAGAAGGTATTCCCTAGTGCAGAACACAGGTTCTGTTTGAGGCATATCCAGGAAAACATGAAGAAACAGTGGAAAGGAAAAGACTTAAGTGACCAGCTTTGGGAGTGTGGTAGAGCAACAACAATAAATCATTTTAACAGAGCAATGGATGAGTTGAAGAAGATCAATGAAGAG